AGAGAGAGAGAGAGGTAGGTAGGTACGGTTAGAGAAAGAGAGAAGGTGCGCAGTTTTAGAGAGAGGGCACATTTAGAGAAAGGAGTTAGCGAGAGAGGGCATAGTTAGAGAGACTAAGAGAGGGTTTTCAGAGAAAACTGTTAGAAAGGAGTGAGAGAGATAAAGGGCATATTTTGAGAGAGAATGGCATTAGAGAGAGAAAAGGCTCATTAGAGATAGGACATAGAGAGAGAGGATACAGTTAGAAGAGGAATGAGTTAGAGAGAGAGGGCACCGTTAGAGAATTAGGGAGAGAAAGGGCATGGCTAGAGAGAGAGTGGAGCTAGAGTGACTTTGAGAGGGAAAGGGCATGGTTGGAGAGAGAGACTACGGTTAGATAGAGAGGAGTTAGAGAGAGAAAGCACACAATTAGAGAGAGAAAGGAGTTATAGGGAGAATGGGCATGTTTTGGGAGAGGAGTTATAGAGAATACATTTAGAGAGAGTTAGAGAGAAATGGCATGGTTAGAGAGAATTTAGATGAGGAACATGGTTTATAGAGAGATAAGTTAGAGGGAGTTAGTGAGAGAGGACATGGGAAGCCAAAAAAAAAAAAGTTAAAAAGGTGAGAGGCTAACTTCCTGACAAACACGATCAGCAAACTTCCATAAGGGGATGGAAGCTACAGGTTATCATTTTCTGAGAACCTAGAGCTTCCGAAAGCCAGTTCCCTGTAGCACTTCTTGTTAACAAATGAGGAAGTGCTATGGCATGTGTCCCCAAGGATTTCTTGTAGTGTAGGAGGCAAACAAGGAATTTCCTCCAAAGAAACTGGAAAGTCTTGTTTTCCATGATTTGTAACTTCTGCTGAGTCCTCCCCAAGTTAAGGGAACAATGATTAGAGCTAGCCACCCCTCCTGTCTAATTTCTAAAGAGCCAAAGAGCCCATCATCTTAGAAAATTGATGATCTACATCCCATTTTACAATGGCATTTCTTATTTTCGTAGACTATCACTATCCTGCATGCAATATATGCAAAATGAATGATTTATACTTCATGGTGTTCACCTATTATCATTGACCAACTTTCTTTGAAGCTGTCCATGTCGCGATCGAGAGAGAGAGAGAGAGAGAGAGAGAGAAGAGTTTATAACTCCCATAAAAATCCGGAAACCCTCTATATATTTGAAGTAACTTTTAATAGTTTAGTCAAATCTCCTACTGAAATGGGTTTTGGCAGGTTTTGTTCAATGCTTGTATGGAGAACGCATGCAGTGAGCAGGGCGCAAGGATGTCTGCCATGGACAGCTCTAGCAGGAATGCTGGAGAGATGCTTGATCGTCTGACTCTCACTTACAACAGGTCTCTCTCTCTCTCTCTCTCTCTCTGACAGACACACAGGCACACACTAATCTATTTCCACAATCAAACTACATGCAAACGTAATCAGGCATAATAACTATCCATTATGGATGTGCATGCTATACTTCTGCACGTGTTCTTTTTATAGAAAAGTATATAATAAGACTATTTATCTTTGGTATAAGGAGGTCATAATTCTTTTGACTACTGGAAGTGAATCCGGCGGTTAAATATATACCAATGACAAGGATCAAAGTTTCAAAGAAATTTTGTGAACTTTTTTACACACCTCAAGCTGTCAAATTTCACATATGATGGGTAGGTTTAATTGTGACGTCCTTTTAACAAAAATGGACAGTATTATAGTACACAGTCTCTACTTATATTTTAAGCATAATAAGAAATGTCTGATTTCCTGAAATGATATACTAGACATATTGGTCCCACTTAGCATTTTACTAGATTAAGCTTTCTCCCCTCCTTTTCTCTATGAAACAAAATAAAGCTTGAGGTACGGAAAAGAAACTTAAATCTCTATCTCTTTGCCATTATAAAATAAATAAAACGTCATTATAATGCTCAAAGACAAAACAAACCATCTATTTCGTTACCTTGCAGGACCCGTCAAGCGTCGATCACTACAGAGCTGATAGAGATCATTTCAGGAGCATCTGCGCTAACTGGTTAAGAAAGCTCCTCTTCGTTTACCCCCTTGTTTTGTTTCCCAAAGATGAACATCTTAATAAATTCTCCGCATTTCGTTTTGGGAGTGTCGGGGACGTACAATGCTTCTCTTTTCGATCATCGGAAAATTTATGTTTTGCTCAGCGTCTTCTGGAATTTCATTTAAAAAAATTGGGGCTGTCCTGCCTGTTGGATAAATCTGTATGGCATGCCAAGTAAATTCTGAGAGAAACTATTTGGGTTCCTTTTTTTTAATGCAATATTGGTAATAAATGGGTTTAGTTTCTGTTGGTAGAGTGCTCATAAATTTTTTGCCTATAGTGTGCTCTCGCAGGTGTATAGTGTATGCATATTCCCCCAAGCGAAATAACAACATAACAGTAATGTTTTATCCAAAATTTGGGATTCATTTTAGAGTCACCATATAACCTTATGAAAAAAGGAAATGAGTTTGAGTTTTTATACAGATCCAGGCATAAAAATTTTCAGTCTATTCAATCTCAGGGGACTCTTTTTTTGGCCACATATACTCCTTTTTTTGCCCCCTTTTTTACTAAGTTGGTTCTAGATTAAGGAGGTTGCATGCCCAAAAATTGGAGTAGGAAAATACTTTTTAGATATGGATGGGGTTTCTATGAGTCCGCCAACTTATGAGGGCCCCACTAAAATTCATTTTAGATGATTTTTTTTTTTTTTTCTAATTTTGTTTTGTAGGTTCATCATATAGGCCAAATGACCATAAATATGAAAAGAAAAATAAACTTTTAAAGTTAAAAAAATAATATTTTAGTTTTTTTGTATGCACCGTCGATATCATATTTCTGGACAACAATTTTCCATCAGATATATTTTCCATATGGATCACGTACCAATAGGAACACAATCTTTCAGAAAGCAGTAAAAACTTCAACTGCGCGTCACTTCGACCTAGGTCAAGAAGCGACATGATGATAACACTCGTGTAAATGGAGTAAGGGAAGTCAAAATACCAACGTATTTTTTTTGGTTTCATGTTTCTTTAACTTGAGCCATGATAGAATTGGAAGTCTAAACATCACGTGGTCGCACTAACCACCTTGATCACCTACCCATTCCAAACACCCTAATTAGGGCTGTCAGTCTGGTGGGGTTAGGTTGACCCAACTTGGGCTTGGGTTTGCGATTTGACTTTTGAAGGCCATTGGTTGGGTCTGGGTCTAGGTCTAGGTGTATGGGTATTAGATTTGGGTCAGGATGGGTTCAGGTTTAGCCATGATCGAATTGTTTTAGGTCAAAATCTAGCATAGATTGATTTGGGTCAAGATGGGTCCAGGTTTAGCCGTGACTTAATTGTTTTGGGTCAAAATCTAGTATAGACTATTTACCTTTGATACAAAGTGGTT